CTGCCCTAAATACTGCTAAGATGACACTTCATCGTTGTACTCACAGTAATTTAGTTGTTGCAGGTGGTAAATTGATTATTGCATTTGCAAACTTTTCTGCTTATGTTGCACTGCCCACATAGATAAGAGTTGGAAGGCTTTATTGTGATCTTTTTTCAGATGGTTTCTTTTACTTTTGCCATTGTTCATACTTTATTATCTAAATAAACAGATATCTAACCAAACTATTTAGACTAATCTTTTAAAAGGACTAGTGAAAAGCCTGATTACTAAGTGATTGTAATTCCATCATTTTCAGCCTTCAGTTAACCAGGCAGGTTTCTTTAGTACTAGGAAGCTCCAGAGACACCTAAGGTCCAAGAAGAAGAGCAAGAAATATTGCACTGTGTGAAAACAACTCCACAGGGTACTTCTGTTGCTACAAACTGAAGTATAAAGTGCTTTAATAATGTTCTTGTCTCTTCTATGCTTCTGTATACTCTATCTTGCTTCTTTGTTGACTCTTATTTTCAGCACCAGTAATCTCTGCTACTTACCTACTTTTTGAACTTGGGAAAGGTATGTGAGCTTTTTAAGCATTAGCCTAGTAAAATGAAACAAAAATGTCCCTTCATGTGAGTGCTATGTGTAAAAGAAAACATATTTTTCTTTTTTTTTCACTATTAAACAGAGGTAATGTGTAGGCCAACAAATGTGACCAGTTACAAGAAAGGAAGAGAACCAGAAAAGCTTACTTTTGCTCAATGGATGTAAAATAGCACACTTATTTTTCATTCATTGAGATATTTACTGTGCTCCTACCATGTTGCAGGCATTGTTTTTAGCACTTAACTTACAATGGCAGAAAAGAGAAAGTTTCTTGTTAATGATACTTATAGTTGAGTAGGGGAAGGTCAAAAGATGTTTGCATTTTAGATAATCAAATACAATTGTTGATGAATAATTTCTTCAATTAGTTACTCATTAAGTTACTTTGGAAATAGATATTCAAAAATTATGGTCAACATTATGTTATTACAATAAAAATAATATTACTTTTAGAAAGCTTAGAGAACAATGAAGATTAAAACCACTCGTAATTCCACAATAGTATGATTTTTTTTGGTTGATCAGTTGTCCAGGTATGTATTATATATTTTTCATCTATTTATTTATTTGGTTTGGTATACACTTTCCTTTATTCACTGGTTTAAAATTCTACCTAAGGGCCGGGGATTTAGCACAGTGGTACCTCCGCCTCCCTTGTGAGCGCAAGGTTCCGAGTTCGATCCCCAGTACCAAAAAAAAAAAAATTCTACCTTTATTGCATACTAGAGTCTTATGCAGATTTATCTCTGGATAGTTCTCTTGCAGTTTGCCAATCACACAAGACAAAACTATTTTAACTGTCATAGTTTTATAATATCTTTAAGTGCCTGGGAGTATAATATCTTTTAATTCATTTTAAGTTTTAAAAATAATATCTTTGGGAAGGAATGGAATTAATATGAGAAAATGAATAAGTGGAAACAAAGTCTTTGTAAATAGGGAGGGATGGAGGGGTTGAAGAGAGGGCAGGGGAATAGGGAAAAAATAACCCAAAGTTGTAACAACCAATGCTACTAAAAATGTCCTCTTTTCTGAGGTGCAAAGTCATCCCTGGTTGAGAATCATTGTTGTAGCTTACCTTTCTCTCTGTGTATATTGGCTCTTCTTTCCAGCCTTTCTTTTAGATGAAATACATGTTGCTCTTCTCTTTTTACTCAGAGACACTGAGTGATAATTTTTATTTTGTCATTCTCTACCTCACATGGTTTAATTGTGGAATTTTTTTCCAAACAAATACAGCATTGCCTCCAAGAGAAATTCTCACAACATATTCTAACTTGCTAAGCATTTATCATTTCTCCTCTGAGTGAACAGGGGCTGGTCATTCGAGTATCTATTTCAGGTTCTGCTATAGATTGCCTTTGCATTAGAATAAATTTGCGCACACAACTCTGTTGCTTATATCTATATGTCCGTCCAAAGTCACATGCACTCATAGGTGGGGCTTTTGGGAGGTGACTGGATCATGGGTGTGTGATACTGGATTAGTCCACTGATGGGTTTACAGCTAGATGTGATGTTGGGAGGTGAAGCCTGGTGGGAAGAGGTAGGTCACTGTGGGCGTGGCGTGGAAGGTGATATATATATTCTGCTAAAATATTCATACACACTTCAGCAGTTTGCCATACTAACAAAGGCCTGGAAGCTGATGGCCACCACTCTGATCTCCTCTTGTAATTGTAGAGGCCAAAGGTGACTTGTATTACTCTCATGATGTCTCAATAAATTTAGTGTTAAAATATTTATATGTATTTCT